GGGAAGAACAAGGAAGAGCAGGCAGTAAGCGATACGACTGATTTCGATCCTCCATTCATTGTATGACCTTGAGTTGCACTAAGTCAATAAATTATTGATATTCACATTTTATTGGAGTTGAAAATTAACGAAGTAATTATAAAACCTTTCTGTAGGATTAAGAACAAACTACTAGAAAATATATTTCCTATAATGGTAGCTTCAAATATTTTGACTGAATAATGTTTAAAATATTTTTCTGGTATTTTCCATCCTGAGATATAGACTTATAGCCCCAAATGGCAAAAAAGAGCCCCTAGGGTAGAATTTCAGGAAAGGCAGTCATTATGCTAAATTCCAAAGCAATAAAACTCTCCACCTTTTAATTTGCAATGGCAACCAGAACCCAATATATTGAAACACATGTACATTACGAAACAGTTCAGAAAGTAAATGGAAGTGTTCAGATAGACAGCCTATGTGTTACAGGAGCAAAGAAGAGAATTCACCATGTATCTTAGAGGCTTTTGTGACTCCTCCTGATTTTCATAGTATTTTGGGTTTAATACCACAGATCTAGTACTTCTGTCTACATATCCATAATAGGGCCCTGGGACATCTTCGCAAACCACAATAATGTTCTAAAAAGAAAAAACAGGAATCTAAAATGAAGTCTTCAGATAAGAGTTACACAGGTTCAGAACAAGACTTCTGTACTTTTACCTGCTTTCATTAGCTCACAAATAGTAAAAAGAAAGAATCCAATAGAAGTAATAGAAACAAATTAGCTCACAGATAGTAATAAGAAACAATCGGATAGAAAATATTTGGCACAATAACTGAAAGAAAAGGCATCTTTTATACTAGAATATGGTCGTGTTCTTTTGGGGAGAAATTTTAATATAATAAAAACAGCATATCCTTGTCTAACATGCCATTTCTGTAAAGAGAAACCTCACTAGCTACTGAACACCAGAAATGCCAGAAAAAAAATTTAACTACATTTTTCATTCATGGCTAAGTTCATGGCAAATTAACAAAAACAACTGAAGGTAGATCAGGAAAAAGTGCAATTCTATAGGGTAATTTAACTCTGGAACTGTTAATTGTGCTAAAGGCATCTCCCCATCCCTACAGCCTAGAAGGACCCCAGTTTTAAGGGGCCATGCCTGCATGGGGGACAGGAATCATGGCCTGGGACTGGATTAGTGTGCTACGGCTGCCATTACAAAATACCACAGATGGGGTAGCTTAAACAACAAAAATATTTATTTTCTCACAGTTCTGGAGGCAAGAAGTCCGAGGTCAAGGTGCCAGAAAATTCCCTCTCTGGTGAGGCCTCTCTCCCTGGTTTGCAGATGGCCATCATTTTGCTGTGTCCTCGCATGACCTTTTCCCTGTGTGCGTGTGGGGAGAGTGTTCTGTCATCTCTGCCTCTTCTTGTGAATAAGGACACCAGTGCTATCAGATTAGGGTCCCATCCTCATGACCTCATTTAACCTTAATTACCTTCGTAAAGGCTCTATCTCTAAATGCAGTCACATTGGGAGTCAGGGCTTCAACGTATGAATGTGAGGGGGACACAATTCCGTTGATAACAAGGACTGATCTGGAGGAGCAGCAGGGCTGGTGAACCCCCAAAGGGCACCACTCTTAGTGAGCAAACCAGGAAAACAGTTAAAATTTCTCTTCGTCTTTACTCAAGGTAGAGCTGTGAAGGGGGAAAAGGTCTCCTCTAGGAACGCTTTATCACAGCCCAACATTCACATATGTTTGAGGATGAAATTCTCACCTACTTGTAAGTGTGTGTGAGCGTGCACACGCGTGCACAGAAGAACAGGGGAGGGAGAAGCAGGAAACCCAAGATGAAAATTGACTTTGAAGTGGTCCAGGGTTAGTAGTGCCACAAGAAACAAAGTGGTGGTGCTAGAAAAAGAAATTTTCTCTGTAGGTACATACTTTCAACAAAAAATTCCCCAAAATAAAGTTCAGAGGAATATGAACTCACAATCAAAAATCACTGACCATATTAGAAAACAAGTCACCATAAACTTGTTGTTTCAGACAAAACAACAAACTGTAGATTCAGATCCACAAAAAAGAGAAAAATATTGAAATTATCATATATAGAACATAAAATAAGTACATTTAATATGTTTAAAAAAAGAAAAAGAGGGGCTGGCCTGGTGGTGTAGTGGTTGGGTTCACGCACTCCGCTTTGGCGGCCGAGGGTACACCAGTTCAGATCCCAGGCATGGACCTATGCACTGCTCATCAAGCCATGCTGAGGCAGGCGTCCCACATATAAGGTGGAGGAAGATGGGCACAGATGTTAGCCCAGGGCCAATCTTCCTCAGCAAAAAGAGGAGGATCAGCAACAGATGTTAGATCAGGGCTAATCTTCCTCACCGAAAAAAAAAAAAAAAAAGGAAAAGAAAAAGAGGGAATAATGGAACTATCCCAAATGATCAGGAAAGTTTGAGAAAGAACCAAACTATACTTCTGAAAATGAAGAAAATATAACCTTAATTAACAACTTGATAGCTTAAATAAGTTAGAGACAGTGAGAAGACAGAATTAGTGAACTGGACAAAAGACTTAAAGAACTTATCCAGAATTCAAGACAGAGATAGAAAATATGAAACAGAGATAAAGAGATATTAAGAACAGAGTACAATGTAAAACATAAGTCCTTTGGTTTCCTAAAGGAGAGAATAGAAAATGGGGGAGGTAAATATTCAAAAAAATAAAAGTTGAGAATTTTCCAGAATTTATGAAAGGCGCTAATTCTCAGATCCAAGAAACTCAATGAATCTGAGTAGGATAATGAAAAGAAATCCACAGCTAGACACACTGTATAACAATGACTGACTGTAGAACACCAAAGAGAGAGAGAAGACAGTAGCTACAAAGGAGTCCTGATCAGACTGACAACTGTCATTTCAGAAGCAACACTGGAAGCAAGAAAATAGTGGAATAATGTCATTAAATACTGAAAGAAAATAGCTGTCAATCTAGAGTTACATACCCAGCTAATTCTCAAAGATAATAAAATGGCAAACTTGTAGGTAAATCTAAACAAATATTGACTGCATAAAATAACTATTTTTGGAGTTAGACCAACATAAAACTAAAATTCTAGACATCAATTTATAAGTTGAGGGGAGGAAATCAGACTTTGTTCAAAAGTCTCTAATGTTTAGGAAGAGAGTAAAGATATTAACTTTAGATTTTGTTAATTATGCAAATTAAATTTCTTGGTAAGCACTGAAAGATAAAAAATGAGTTTTTACCTTCTAAACCAGTAGAGGAAAAGTAAATTAAAAAACACAACTAAATCAATCAATCTGAAAGAAGGCAAAAAAAACAAGGGCAGTGAGGAAACAGAAAAAAGTGGTACAAAAAGCACAATAAGATGGTATAAATAAATTCGATTATGTTTGTAATTTCAACAAATGTAAATGAATTAAACTCTCCAGTTAAAAGATAATTAGACAGAAAGGAAAAAAAATCTAGTTACAGTTTTTAAGAGGCATATCTAAAACACAACTGAAAGGTCCAACAGAAGGATAAAGAAATATATACCATACAAATACTAACCGGCTGGTACGGCCTATATAAATATTTTTTTTAAAAACATAGATTTTAAAGCAACATAAAATGAAATAAACACATTTTTAGAAATAGAGGCTATAACTATAAACATAAGATTCAATTCTAAACTTGCAAGATTAAACAATTCTAAATTTGTATGTACCTAATAACAAAGCTTCAAAATATATAAAACAAAAATTGTTAGAATTACAGAGAGAAATTAGAAAATCCACTAGAGCAGGAAATTTCAACACATCTCAGAATCTGAGAGATCAAGTAGAATAAAAAACAACAGTAAAACAGAGACAATTTGAACAAAATAATTAACAAGTTTGGTTTAATGGACACTCAACAACTGAAAATTATGCATACTTTCAAAGACTAATGAAACATTTACAAAAACTGACCATATTTTAGGTCATAAGACAAATCTCAACAAATTTCAGCATATCAGTTTATATGGACTTATTCTCTGACCACAATCCAATTAAAGCAGAAATCAAAAATAAGAACAATAAGAATTTAAAAATCTACATGTAGGAAATGAAAAAAACCCCACATGTGAGTCAAAAAAGAAATCATAATGAAAAATAGAAAATACTTAGAACTTAAAAACAAATATTTATACAGCACTTTAAAATGACAAAATATTATTTTATTTCATCACAAATAATCCTCTGAGCTATAAAGAACCCATATTACGTCTGCTCAACAGCAGAGATACAACAGCAAAAATGGTGTAAATTATGTAATTACTATAGTTAATTTTTATATATAAGTAAAATACATATCAAAAGTGATTTGGAAACTGGGAAATATAAATGAAAGTGTTCACTACTAAAAATATTAAAAGGCAAACCAACTATCTCTTTTAGAAGTTATATTGAACAGCTAACAAAGTTACAAAGAAATAATTTATTATCTTAATGTTTAAAGCTCAAAAAGCCCATCAATTCATTTTGGTTTAAGAAGTCCCTTAGATCCTTATGCAATATATACAAGCTCATATGGTAAAGTATTTATTATTCATATGAGATGAACAAACATGATCAGAAATCTTGCTGCACAAGCTGAGTAACCATAGTTAAGAGACATTCCCGCTCACACACACAGTCCTGATTTCTTGGTTACAGCATCTGTTCAATGGTGCACTGGCAATTAACAGCATTCCAAAAACTGCCTCCAGTACAAAGGGAATTTTCATTTAAGGTTCCCCTCCCTTTTCATGTGTGGGATATTTTTGGAAGTATGTTTTTTTTTCCATCCACTAAAAGAGAATTAAGAAAATTCCAACATGCCTTAGTGTCAGCAAGTGCTCTTTTTAGTTCAGGTACCAGAGGATGATTGATGAACCTGTCAAGCCTACAGTAGCGGACAGAGAAAGTTGGCAGAAGTTCAGTGTTATTGAAAGAAATCTCAAATACTTATTTCATCTCCTCTATTAACTTTAATCACATTTTCAACATGCAGCCAAGAATGAAGCTTTGACAGTAAGCCATAAATTTATACAAGCAAGCATTGTCACTTTTCTGCACTGGCAACACTGAGATAACATGAGAGAGCTGGGTATTTTCTTTCTTGTGCCTTTCTTTACTGAAGAGCAGTAAAAAATACTTGAAAGATTTATCCATACCTCAAATTCAATTGCCATAAATCTCTTGAAATTATCGCATTTAATTTTCTTGGTTTATGGCAAATAAAAAATCAACTTAGTTCCTCAATTAGACTGTTAAACGCAGATTTTTAAAGATCACAGTGATGACAGAATTGGTACATGTTTCATCATAATACACCTGCTCATGAGAACAGACATCAAACACTAAAAAGGATTTACATTTAACATGGATCATTTGCCATGTGGGCAAATACTTCTGGTTTATTCAGAGCCAGAATCTTTATATGGTTCCAGAGGGACTCCTTGGCAGATTTTGCTGATTACTCATTAAACACTTGAAACATATATAGACATTATTTATCTTACAAAGCTTACCCACAGCAAAACAGACACAAAAATGAGGTAAATACTATGGGCAAGATTATGGTTCTTGGAAAGGCTAAAAGTCAACTATATTTTTGGTAAGCTTTTCCTTCTAAGCATGTTTTAAAAGCTGAAAATATTAAGTGCTAGAAGGCCACAGAATTTAACAAGTGTGTCTTGTCATCCAGTGAAACACAGGGCATTATGCTGCACTGCAAAACCTGTAACCTTTCCCAATGCACAGTTCAACGACCAACACGGCCATCTTTGCCATAGCAAAGACGAGGTTTTGACTCTCCCCTCTCTTAAACGTGATCTTTGTTCCCAGGACAGTTGTTTTTGTCTACATTACTCATGGAATAACACTTTATACATTCTTCCAATAGCTGAGGAGGCTATTACAGGCAGCTATTATATCTGCCTTCTAAGCCACAATAATAAACTAATATTAACCCTGTATAACATCAATTAAATTATTTTTCTCTTTAAGAAGTCTATACTTAACAGTTCTCTGAGATAATCAATGGAAAAGAAGACCAATTCTGATTAACACAGGAGTACATTTATCCCATTTTCCCTCCTACTCCTCCCCATTCAAAGAATCATATATAGGCACTTAAAACTGGAAAGATGTAGCACTCTTCTTTTATTAAACATTTAATTAAGACTCCAGTAGAAGTTTCTTTCTTCTGATATAAGAGTGCCGTTGAATATATTGCTAAGCTTGAAGCAGAGGCTAAATGGTTTGATGGGGATAGTTTTTGGGGGATAGTAAATATTTTCTGATTAGTTTGTCATTGTTGGGGTTCAAGTTCTTAAAAGGTTGAAAATTTTGCTAGTTCCTTCTCCATCTCAGCATATTGTTCTTTAAGCCTCTCCATGGCTTTTCTGTGCTCTTCATCCACTTCAGACTGTCTGTTGTGTTGTTCTTTCATGAAATCCTCCCACTGGATTATATGCTGTTTTTCACTAGCTATTAAATGGTCATTATGAATCTGAGAAAAGAAAATTTGAAAGTCACATGACATTTTCCAGACAATTACTTTTCTGTGCAGAAGAGACACATAACTTTACCTCTTGATGTTTCGTTACTATAGCAATCAGCTTGCAAGTCATAATGAGAAAATTGCATTATAGTTTTAATGTCCAACAAGAACATGACATATTAGAAACGTCTAAGGTGAAGGCTTCTCTTACTATGATTGAACGTGAATATTCACATTTCTGAAATTTTAAAAATGTCTAGTATCTTTAAATGACAATATCAAATACAAAGTAATTTTCATCTATTTCTCCTCAAATTGCATTTAACTACATATAATTCTTAAATCAAGTTTACAGAATATATGCCAAAAGAATCATCACTATAAGAAATTAAAACCCATGCCTTACATAATTTTACATTATTAAATATTATGCCTTACATAATATTTTTTAGATGCATTAAAAAGAATCATAGATTATTAATCACTGGCAAAGAACTCAAGAAATCTCTTCTGGTTCAGTTCCATTCCTTAAAGCAAATAAACACCAAAAGCATCTATGTCAAATATCTGAGTTCTTCTTGACATGTTCCTTAATATTTCTATTTAAGGATGAAAAAATTTGAGTACAACAACAATAAAGATGAAACAATATATAAGCAAAAAGGCATAAATTTAGTATAATTTCAATTATCATTGAATATGTACAACAAAGAGCTAAATAGAAAAAGAGAGTATGAAAAATAACTTTATATCCCTGCCTCAAAGATTCTACATACATGTCTTTAGAAGTTAAGTTTTAATACAAACTAAGTCCTATTAAACAAACAAGCAAAAACCATGACGGATACAAACCATAAAAACCTGAAAAGCACCTAAAGTCATTACTAATTCCAGTGCTCTAATGTAAACGGGACACCTGGTGTACTCAGATACTGGTAACTCAGATGCTGGCCACCAGAAAGACAGCTAATAGGAAAAAGGTGGAAACCAGGCTTTTATGCCGCCCATAATGTCCTTGCTGCTCTATTTTCTCTCTCATCTGAGTCATGATGAGAAGCAGGATGAAGCGCTGGATAAGCCACCATGCTCTAAGTCTCTATGAAATGCATATTTCTGCTAGTTGTTTTGCATATCTCATCTACTTCTAAAAATCCTTCTTATAAGATTACATTCTTCTCATTTTACAGATGAAGAAATGAAGGCTTAAGGACAAAATTTACTTCTCCACGGTCACTCAGCTATTAAGTTGTGGATCCAAACAGGTCTTTCTGACACCCAAACCTATGCCTTTTCTATCACAAAGTACAAACCAGATCTTTCCAGAGGAAGCTTTACATAGGTAGCTAAAAGTCGCTTTCACAAGACAAAAAAAAGGCTATTCTAAGAGCTTTTTCTGCCAATCTGATCTGAAGTTTCTAAGAATGGAGGTTATTCAAGTGAAAAGAGATTGAAGTAAGTCTGAAGTTTGAGTTAAAGTCAAACATTCCCCTAAGATATGTCCCGCAGACCCCTGGGATCTGAACAGGCATTACAGTGGTGGGGAAAGAGGGTTGGGCGGGGGGCATGGTTTGCTGATTCAATAAATTTGTGAAGCAGGTTAAACAAAACTCAAAACAAATACTTTTTAACTTTGCAGGCTCACAGATTGTAATTCTCCAAAAGATGAACAGAACATGAAGAGTTCATGAAACTCTTTTTCATGGAACTTTTGCAAAAACTATTATATTCTAAAGGAAAAGCCATAGTCAGACTTAAAAAAAAGAAAAATGCAAATAAAGTTCCTCAAAATGGTATCTTGCTTTAGCTGTATATTAATTTCTAATAAATACAGAGAATACTAAAATGCATACTCAGATGTTATTTAATAGATTATTCTTTTCTTCTTAATTGAAACAGCATAATCGGCTCAGCTGACCCTGTGATTCGTACCACAAGGCAACAGCCTCATTCCATTTCCCACCAGGCAGCACTTTACCCAGTGCAGCTCAGTGCAGAAAAATGAAGATTTGGGAGGCATATAAACCTTGCTTCAAATTGTGGTTCACTTGTTACCAGTTGCACAACTCCGAGCAAGTTAAAGTTTCTTTGACTTTAAAATGAGGAAAGTAATACTTTATATTCATAAATAATATTTAAGAAGAGCAAAGGTAACACATGTCAAGTTCCTAGCTCAGTGCCTATGGTGCTTAATAACAGGTAAACAGTATTATACAAATTGTAAACAAAGCATCTAGAAGGCAGATCAAACCACTTTTTATCCTCCTCAATATAAGTTTTTTGTTCTTTAATTTTAATAATATCATTTTAGCAACAGAATCTTATAATAATTCAAACAATAAAGGCAACTCAAAAGTAGTAGCTTCCCTCTCCTAGTCCCCTATTCAATTCAGTCCTCCTTAATGATGCTACTATTTACCACCTGGCTATAAGAAAAGACTTTAATTAAGATGTTGCCAAATACCAGTATCTCTATTTTGTAGTTTTAGAATATTATGACTAAAGATATAAACATCCAAGTAGTATTTCACATTAGGCATGTCACTTCCTGGCCTCACAGTCCAGGTGATAAGAAGTTGAATGCTGACTACTCCCTATCCCAATTGAAAACCTAGTCTTGCTTTCTTATCAAGAAGTTCTTGAAGTCACTTTATCTATCTTGTCTTAGGCTCCCACCTTTAATAACAATAACTGCGATGCAATCTTGCATTCTTGCCAACAATTAGTAAAGAAAAAAAGGAAGGGAAGCTTACACATTCATTTATTGACAATACTATAGTCTTCACATATAAATAAAACTCATCTACCTGGAAATAACATCCATCTGAAAGCTAGTTGAGAACTATATGGTCTTAACCTTTAAGTCATCAAAAAATTAATGCCACAAAGTCCATTTACAAATATTGAAGTATTCATGAAAAGCTCTTCTGATTCTGAATCTACTTTACATACAACTCTAACCAGGTTAGTTAACTGGTTTCCAAAACTAGACCACATTAAAAGTCACAAATTAGAAAAAGAAATGCTGATAAATGAGAGGGGAAGAAATGATAGGCATCAGCATTAGAGTAAAGGAGAAGACAAATACGAAACCTTAAAACACACATTTGAAATAGAGAAACACTCTCTTTCTTTCTAATTCTCTGAGGATATCACTATATTCACTGTAATGTAAAATTGTATATTTTTCATAATTCCTAATTCATAAAGAAAATTAATCTGTAACATTCAATAATTTTTTTGTAAAAACCAGAATAGTAAGAAATACATTTTTAAAGATTTCCATCCAAAAGGGTTCAAGTTGTACAGACGGTCCCCAACTTACGATGGTTGGACTTAGGATTTTTCCACTTTACGATGGTGCAAAAATGATACACATTCAGTAGAAACCATACTTCGAATTTTGAATTTTGCTCTTTTCCCAGACTAGCGATATGCAGTACGATCCTCTCTCGTGATGCTGGGCAGCACAGTGAGCCGCACAGCCCCCAGTCAGCCCCGCGATCACTAGGGCAAACAACCGATACACTTACTACCATTCTGCACCCAGACAACCATTCCATTTTTCACTTTTAGTACAGTATTCAATAAACTACATGAGATATTCAACACTTTATTATAAAATAGGGTTTGTGTTAGACGATTTTGCCCATCTGCAGGCTAATGTAGGTGTTCTGAGAACATTTAAGGTAGGTTAGGCTAAGCTATGATGTCCCATAGGTTAGGTGTATTAAATGCATTTTTGACTTAGGATATTTTTAATTTACGATGGATTTAATGGGACGTAACCCCCATCGTAACTCAAGGAAGATCTGTGTTGTGCTTAAAGAAGATAAAAATCTCAGCTTTGTGGTAAACCTGGCTATATAGAACAATTCATTTTCTAAGATTTCTAGACACATGAGGTTTGATTGTATAAAATAGCAGAAAAATCCCAAGTTAGCTATATTTTACATATCACCTAGGAGAAAGTTAAAAAGTATTCTAAGCCAACAGGAACGAAGGTTATCTTAGGGTGTATCTATCCAAAATGTGAGGAAATGTAGTCTGGCCAACCATAACTTTACTAGAATAGAATGACAAGCAGCTGGACTGTTGCTTACTCTGAAGCAGCAAAGGTCCCACCTCTTATAGGAGTGCCACAATACTTCCTCAATTCCACTGAAACAATACTAACATTAGATACATCCCAGTTCATACATGAGAAAGTTATAAAATCCAAAGACTTAGCCTAACATGCCAATGAATTTGTTTACAACTAAAAAGAACTCTCAGAAATAAGGAAAAATCTTTTATAAATACTGAGCTAACTGTAGATCATAATCACCTGCACACATCACCACTTCAAACACAGTAATTCCACTTTTATGTTCAATAAATGAGGTTCTTCATAAGGTTTAGTTTGAAATAAGGATTCCTCTAATGAAAACACATTTGAAAAACAATGATCATATCTCATCGTAGTTATATTCACACAGATTCATACAAGTCTAATAGAAAGAGATAGTTCCCCCCCCACATACACACCAAATCCTTTCCCTAGTATCCTTTTTCCTGGTATCATTAATAGTTTGATGGGTACCCTAACAAATTTTTTTCCTATGTTTATATAAACATATTTCTTTAATTACAACAAAATGAAGTCATATTACATATGATGGTCTGCAGCTTTCTTTTATCAAAATGATAACAATATGTACCAGTGGCATAGCAACAGCAGGAGGGTGGGAGAGCTCTGCCCTGGGTGCAAGCAATAAGGACGTGCATTGTCTGTACAGAATTTAAATCAACGACACAAACAACTGAAAGCCGTTTTTTATTATCACCAGGCGCTGGCAATAGTGAACAATGTCAGTGATAAAACACTCCTAAACCAAAAATCTTTCTTTGGTCTAAGTTCTAAACAATTGTTGAGGTTATTGCTGAATTTTAATAATGTATGTTTCAAATTAACACATTTTTATTGCTTACCCTTTAATAAACTTTGTATTCTACACTGAAGTTAGAGTACT